CAAGAGATTTTTGCCTATGTTTTTTTCTAGGAGTTTTATGGTTTCATGACTTACATTCAGGTCTTTGATCCATTTCGAATTTACTTTTGTGTATGGGGTTAGATAGTGATCCAGTTTCATTCTCTTACGTGTAGCTATCCAGTTTTGCCAACACCAGCTGTTGAAGAGGCTGTCATTTCCCCATTGTATGTCCATGGTTCCTTTATCGGCAATATACTTTTTGAAACATATTTTCAAACTGGTTGTAGACAGGGGTCTTCTGTCTTCTCCAGATGCTACCTGTGTCTCTGGTCCAGTGACACCTCCTCCCTCCACTGGCCTTCTTTCCGTGGATGCCTTATTCCCACATTCATTCATAGCAAATGTTTTGAGTGTCCACCATGTGCCAGACATGCTTGAGTCACCAGCAACATAGACACACGTGTGCTGACATCGACCTGGTCCCTGCCCTGCCAGAGTCCCGCCTGCAGCCACCTTGCCCAATCTGGGGCTCAGAAAGCTTATGATGGGAAAGTTACCAAGCCGGAGATCAGAGGGCCTCCCTGGGAACATAAGTTAGCAGCAGATCCGGCAGAGAGGAGGAGCGGCCTCAGCTAAGGTGGCCAGATGGATCCACATATGTCATTGCCTCTGTTAAAGGAGGCCCCAGGCTAGCCTGGGTTGAGCTCTGAGAGGGGTCAGGGGTAGACTGATGCAGGCGGAGCGTCAGGGATCTGGGTTTTTATCCTTGGAGCTCTGGGGACTGTCCAAAGCAGGGTGAGGAGTATGAGTTGGCTGTGGACCAATGCAGTCATACCTGCATTTTCAAATGATCACTTGGGCAGGTGTGGAGAAGGGACTGGAGAGAGTAAGAGGAAGTGGGGATGAGCTAGGAGCTGTTGTAAGTGAAGGAGTCCAGAATAAGCCACTGTGGCATGAAAATTATTTCGAACTGAAGGCATTTGGGAATAGGCGTTTTTCTGAACTTCCTTATTTGCCTAAAAGCAGAACCTCCCAAAAGAACTCAATTGTCCTAGATCCCCTCCCTAGGAGCAACCAGGAA